CGTACGGACGACCGTGCGACGAACGTATCACCAGAGCCATCGTTGTTTGCTGTGTATTCATACACACACTAACGCGTGCGTCTCGCAATGCACGGTCGGCCCGTATGAATACAATACACAGCGAACAACGATGGCTCTGGTGATACGTTCGTCGCACGGTCGTCCGTACGCGTCTATGCTCGGCATATTTATGCAGTATAGAACATCTAGGTAAACATATTTCTATGCCCGAACCGATGCTTGGATTCTATTTTACTACCATATTCCTGTTGCCTTTCAATCAAATACATTTTCAAGTAGTTTTCATTTATTCAACCACTTCGTCTTGCAATTCTATTTCTCGATTAAACAAATTTCCACTCGAAAATGTTTCAGGCTATTTTCACATCTTGTCGAAAGGTCTTGGCGGCAAATTTGAATGACATAAAAACCCAGCATTTCGCAAATAGAATTTATAATTCAAGTTGATCCTGTGTACATAGACGCGATGGAAAGGTAACGCATGCCTCACTCTTCACTTTTGTTCGCCACAGTGATAGCGATCGACGCATGAAGAAATGCCATGAATCTTCTACATGTTCGTGGCCTGCAAATCACAATTTCGCTGAGTGTCCATCGATGCTGGCTGCTGCGGCATTATTTACTCCTCTTCTCTCTTTCTCTCTCGTGTGTGTGCGTGTGGATTTCGTGGCAAGCTATTTATTTTTTGATCTTTCTTTTGGCCGATCAATTCTTGAGAGAGATCGTCTGCATCCACCATATAAACACATCAAATCATATCGTCGTTATTGAGTTTGAACACACTGTCTTTTCTTCGCAACTCACATGTGCTTGTGCATGCACACACACACTTTGCATTGCACACATATGCCTTTCTTTCTTTTTCTCTCTCGTATGTACAAAAAAATGGTCGATGGTTAGCGCAAACACACGGCGAGCCCAAGACGCGCGTACATTATTTACCAAACTAAACAAAAAGAACTAACGGGTCATTGGCACAATCTGAGGCGACAATATAAAGGGGACGTATTCTGGTCGAAATCGAATCAGTTTGAATATCGTGTTTAGAGCAACAAGTTCGATCGACATTTGTGCTAGGCGAAAATTGAGCTTTGATATTTTTGGACACCTAACCGAATCGCAAGCGATTTCAATTTTGTTGGTGTACATTTTTTTTCGATAGATTTTTTTCTCATAAAAATTTTTTTTTTAAAAAATCGAACCATGTCACGCTATATTTTGTGCGCTGTTTATTTATTAATCGCAATCAGTGCGGTTCATTCGGCTTCATATTATTATCGTGCTGGACGTGAAGTAATTGTTCCAACGATTGAAGAGGTGAAAGAAGTAATTTCGGAATTGAAAAAAGATGAGGGAGTTATTGTCGAAGAAATTGTAGCTGCCGTTCCATCGGTGCCAGTTGAAGCAGTCGTTAAAAGCGTTCCGGTTGTTGAGAATGTGGTGCCAATCGTTGAAGCCGTTGAGACAAATGTCATGGCCGATGCTGAAAAAGCCATTGTTAGCGATGTTGTAGCCGATGAGGCTCGTTCAAAACCAAATCCAGTACTTCGTTTGGACACATTGGAAGTTATACAGCCAGCCGGTGAAAAGTCCGATAAGGTGGTAACGGTAGCTGAAACGGTGAAAAATGCCGCCGTCCAAGCAATTGAAAAACAAAACCAAGAAGTTGCCGAAAGCACTAAGATCGAAGAACCAGCCGTCGTTCCAGAAACAAGAGTTGTTGTTGATACACCAGTCGTTCAAACCGTAGTTGAGCCAGTCGTGCCAGCAGTAGTTGTTGCACCAGTTGTTCCCACAGTTGAAAATGCTGATGCTTCGGTTAAATCGGTTGAATCCGTACCAGTGGTTGAAAGTGTGGTGCCAGCCGTTGAGGCTCAAGTGGTCAAAGAATCGGTACGTTCGGCTGAACCAGAGCCAGCCAAACCCGAAGAAACAGCCAAACCCGAAGAACCAGCCAAACCCGAAGAATCAGGCAAACTCGAAGAACCAGCCAAACCCGAAGAACCGGCCAAACCCGAAGAACCAGCCAAAGAGATGAAAGCCGAAGTGCCACAACCTACTGAAAAGTCCGTTGTCGTAGCACCAGAAATGCGTCAAACCCCAGGACCACTCGATCAACTCTCGAATGCCATTACCTCACTCACATCGAATATTCAACATACCTTCCAAAATTTTATCCAGGGTGGCCAAAATGCTATCCAAGGCGGTGAGTAGTTTTTGTTATATCCAAATTGTTCTGTGATCATTCAAAGCTTTCCATAATTATCAAAAAAATTAGCAAGACTCATAAAATAATAATTTAAAAAAATAAACCAAAAGTCTTTCATTTTGGTCTTGATAATTTGAATTGCATTTCAAAATTCAATATAAATCATTGAAAAAAAATTTAAAAATTAAATTTTATTTCCACATTACGAATATAGCCATTCGGCCACCGGGTCAACAGCAATCAGACACACCAGCAGCCGGAGCAGCAGCATCTTCCGAACAGCAGAATACCGCCGAACAGGCACCGGTTGCTGATGCCACTCAAACCGCAGCCGCAACAACGGCCGCACCAAACTTGTTGCAAAGCGTTCAACAAGCCATCACACAATTCACAAACAACATTATCCCAGCCCAATTGCGTCCAACACCTGCACCAGCCGCTCCAGAAGCGCCAGTCGTTGTGAGCGGCACCCGTGGTGGCGAAGAAACAGTTGAGGTTGTACATAACATTGACGTTGATGTCAATGACAAAGTCGATTTGGCAAAAAAAGCTCAATAAATTTGTGTGTCTTTCTGCAGTGAACAGAGACGAAACCAACAAGCGAAATATTTCGATAAACAGAGAGATACAGAGAATGAGCCAATAGTAAATAACCGAAACACAAAAATATAAACGCTCTAAATACATAAATAAACTAACGCAGGATTCAGATTCAGATTCAGATATAAGCCATTCTGATGAATAAACAACAGCAACAACAACAACAGCAGCAGAAACTACACACAAATAATATGGATCGACTACTACTGACCTACAATGTACCGTTCATTCACCGTTTTTGATACTCATTTTAATTTCTTATATATTTTAAAACGCGCGTAGATCGTTCAAGTGAATCGGTTCTTCTTCTTTTTTGGAAACTTTAGCAAAAACCAACAAAAAACCCAAACCAGACATACAAATCATTAAATACATAGAGAAGAAGACCATAGCGCCAGGCCAATACACACGCACATGCTATCAACGCCCAACATAGTTCTTAAGCCTTAAATCTGTATCGATTTAAAATTTAAATTTTAATTTTAGTAACTTATTATCACCTATGGATTTGTGTGGGTCAGATTTAAAAAAAAACGCACAAGTTGAAAACAACAATAATAAAAAAAAAATAAAGAGAACACAATTTACATATTATGTAAATGTGTTAAATGTATCGATTCGATCGTGTTATCGTGATATATCAAACCGAATCGAGGCACAATATTCGTCAGCCAAGTTATCAAGAATAAATTCAAAATTGAGAGAAAATTAACTGGATTATTTATTTTAACTTAAGATATCGTTTGTCCATTTATTTCAGCTTTCTTCTGCCTTTTGACCAAATTATGGTGTGTTGTTGTTGGCGGAGATTTCTATTCTATTGCAGAGTTTCGAAAGTTTTACGGAGAAACCACTGATTTAAATCGCGAATATTCAATGTTAGCGAAATGATAAGAATTTCTTGCCTCTCAACTCAATGTGAAAAATAATTTCTGCGAAAAATCTCTAAACGTCAGAATTGGGCTGAAAAAAAATGAGTGAAACATTGTTGATAGATTTAAAATGTCATTTATTCATTTGTTTCTCTCTCTCTCTCTCTCTCTCTCTCTCTCTCTCTCTTTCTCTTCCTTTTGGTAAAAAAGACTTATAAAAATCACTTTGTTGCTATTATTTATTTGTATGTGTTGTATTGTGTTGTATCTTTTCTCCAAGTTATCTACAATTATGACTAAATTACATTTTTTATACAGTCTAACACATGTTGGAATATTTTTTCTTTACTCGTTTCGCCATTTAAAAGCATAATATCCTCTTTATTTTTGATTTCGTTGAAATTCTGTTCGTACATGGGCCAAACGCAAATTTCAAAATAGCCAAGCACATCGGGTGGATCGTAGGCGCGTTTTGTACGACGTTCATAGCATTTTTCATATGGTAAATGAATGTGAAATTTTAACTGGCACAAACGATTCAGTACACCGTGATTAAAAATTAAAAAACCCTCGATTATCATAATATTTACAGTGGACACTGGTTTCGTTTTCGAATAGAAAACGAATCGTTTACCCAATTCGGTGTATAGATCATTGCACATTTTGGACATGTTCAGCGCTCCAATTATATCATAATTAACGTGTGACAATTGCTCGATCCACTCATGATGCGGATAATCATCCGAATAGAAATAATCGTCTTGGTTCATAATTTTCACCGTTCCGATTTTAACACGATCACTCAACCGATTCTCATTGGCCGGATCACTTAAATAATGGTATAGTGATTGTGATAGTGTCGTCTTGCCACCGCATGTAACACCCGAAATTCCGATAATCAACCACGACATTGTGACTGTTATTTCTGTTGCACCGTCTGTCACTCAAACAATTATCCTTTTTCTCGTCGTCGTCGTCGTCGTCTTCCTCTTATTGATTGTACTTCAAACTATACATAACTTGGACGTATATCTACGTATTGAATGTGTATGTTGCACTGGCCTATTCATTCAAGTGCACGAGAGGGGCCCGAACCTGTCATATAAATGTGATTAAACGACCCGTGTGATACACCGAAAATACGTAGACAACGGCGAACAGACAAAATCCGAATACGGCTGGCACTATGAATGCATACTGGATCGGTGGGAACAGCGAATAAATCCAATTATCTGGAATACGGAAGAAAAGAAAAAAAAAAACACACACATATTCGGGTTATGTGTCAGAAAAATATCGTAATAATAATGATGCTGATAATATAATGGCGCACTAAATAAGTAAATCAAATGAAAAACCTCACTAGCCAACAAAAACACACAACAACTCTTTAATTCGAATGCCAACGAAATTACATAACGCTATTTGTAATCGAAAAAAAAATCGTATTTCAACACAGGCCATTAAGTGATGAACGAACGAGAGAAGAATGAAAAAAAAATCTGTACACTTTTTATCAATTATCAGTGGCAGTGAAAATTGATTTGCGTCAAGTGGAATGAAAACGAAAACAAAACGCAAAACGGAGCGCAAAAAAAAAGAACAAACAACAGAGGGAAAAAAGTCGAAGGACAAAATCAATTTCAATCAAAATTGCGTTTATTTAAATCATTCAGTTTTTCCGTTTGGCTTGCAATTTCATCAGCATGTTTTGCTCTGATGTAACGATAACAGCATATTCGGTGTCACATTGTATGTGACAATATGTGTGTTTGTACTTCAGCTGTTGTTATGTTGGTGTGACGTCTTTCATTCAGGATAAATACGATGCACAATTTGAGGCTGAGTTCAAGAGCAAGTGCACACGATGATTTCACTATCGAAAATTATGGTACCTTTTTCAATCCGCATAAAAGGCAATACAGCCACCCAGAAGATGTAATAAAGGAATGCGGTTAGAGCAAATGATAGGATGGTGCTGCCAATCGTTGAATATGTGGCCATATGAACCGAATGTGAACACACAAATCGCTGATTTTGTTACTCTAATTTTTGTTTTTGTGCGATACTGGCTCTCGAAATCTAATCACTCACTCACACGCACTCTGCCTTTAATTATTATGCTCAATGACTTTCCTTCGCTCTTTCCGATCTCCGATTGATTGACGTTCCCGAATTGACCGTTTTCGTATAGCAATTGATAATCGAATGCAAATGTGCACATGTCAATCGCACAAAATCAACAAAAAAAAAATTTCAAATCGCGATAGATTCACATCGATTGAATGGCGAACGAATGGCAATCTGAACCAAATCGAACAGTTTGCGGTGATGATTTTTTTTTGTTCAATATTCTTGCGTTGATTGTGACACAAAGTCGTTTATTCGATTACAGTAATTCAGGGGTTATGTGATGCGTTTTGCTTTTAATCTCACATTTGAACGAAATTTACTACGAAAACGTGCAAATCACAGATAATCTGGTGTTGAACTTTTGTTTTTGTTCACAACATTCTTTTTTTTCTTCCTTCTTCATTCCTCGTGTACTGTGACTAATGAAACTGTCAAAACATCTGTCAGTTTCAATGCTAATGACAAAGTGACAGTTGAATGATATTTCAAAGCCGGGCCAAAAACAAATATTTCCATCGATTTTTGTAACAATTTTCTTTTGACAAATGTATCTAATGAGGGTTTTTAACACGTTATACTCCATAAATGTTCCAGTTTAAGTAAAAAAAAAATAACCACAACACAAGCCGTTTACATCCACTTTGATTGAAGCATCAAAACAATTTTTGTCAATAGGGAAAACTCACGTGTAGTCTTTTTGTTGAAAACGAAAAAGCAAACCTGTCACCAAACAAAAATCGTTCAACGTTAACGAAAGATCCGTCAAGAGAATGAAAACAAACAAATCATTTTGACAATAATGCGTTCGGCTTTTATTTGATATAATTTCTCAAACACGACAAATTATTTTATGTTCGAGTATTTGGCTAAAATTTATTGGTTCAAACGCGTCAAAATGCTATATTCCACTCCATTTTGATAGTTATTGTATAAGAAATTTGGTAATAAAATCGTTGGCTTCATTAAAAATATCATCAACATGTTGTTCACCGTTCAGAAACACCAATTCGGCTTTATTTGGCACTTCGTTGAGATGTTTGTGGTACATGGGCCAAATGTAATGTTCATAATACCATTCTGGTTTCGGATTAATGTGTTTGAAAGGGCGAATGAGGCGTCGTTGTAGGCCCACATCGTAAGATAGATAAATATGGAATCGCAACTGACAGAACTGACTAATACGTGCATCGTTGTAAATGAGAAATCCTTCAATTATCAGGATGTTCACATCGATTTGTGAACCATTGTTGTCTTGATTTAGGATGGAGTTTTCCTTTGGAGTGTCATCAGCTTTCAATTTTCGCACAGTTTCACTAACATCTTCGGCAAATTTATCCATATCCATAGCTGAGAGGATTTCTCGATTGATGAAATTGATTTCGGGTATCCATTTGTGGTGCGGACTATCACGTGTGTAAAAGTATTTATCTTGATGCATCAAAACCACTTGGTTGATGCGAAAGCCATTGTACACATTTGAATTTTGTGGATTATTCAAAAATTCGTACAGACGTGTAGACAGCGTTGTCTTTCCACCGCCGGTTATCCCAGATATTCCGATCACTATAAGCTTCATTGCAACGCAAACTAAACACAAAAAAAAAATGCACGATTTTTTTCCCTTCAATCACACTACGAAACAAAATGAGACATCAACCGGTTGCAACAGTCAAAACAGACACGACGTCACAGTCATCTGGTTTTGCCAGTGTGCGAAATACTTTTCATTCAACTTGTATTGTTTAATAGTAAGCCAACTGATAAGATGAACTGCAATAAACTTGCAGCAACAGATAAACACAATTAATGACCCGCATCAATAGATGGCGCTTGGATGGCTGACAAAAAAAAGTTAACCATTAAGCTATATCATTTTGAGTATCAGAATAGAACTTTCTGTAACATCTTCCATTAGGAGAAATAAAATGAGAATGATGAACACAATAAATATGATACAACAGATTCGAACCATCTAGTAATTACATCTCAATTGTGTATTATTTGAATCACAAACATTAGAGTAACTGTCACTGTCATCACTTATACGGTACGGAATTGTTATTCATAACGGTGACAAACCACTATTTTTTTTAATTTTTGAACATTTTTGTAATTAGTAGGTATGAAAATGATGAAAATAGTTATCCACAAAAGTGAAAAATTCATATTGAATGTCTCACGGTCATTTCCCATGGTGTGTGATTTTATCCGAATTTATCAAAAAAATTTATGAAAAACATCCTATATTAACTTACCAGTTCCTTTCGATCACATCGCTGTGATTTGAATCACTGATTTCTATACGTGTGTATTTTGTACTAAGAAACTCACAATGTTTCGTTCATTTTTGAGCAAAATTCTGAAGTCGAGTTTTGGAAACGAAAAGAAATCGAACTTTTCATCTAAATTTTCCAATTGAAAGCATTTTCAATCGATGCATTGTCGCTAAAATTCCTTTGACCTTAGTTGTGAAAAAAAATGTGACAGCGCACCAATAAACTGCTGTTATAACTGTGAGTGAACCTGGTTCAGATTGAAAGAAATTGATATCATATATTGAGCGCAGTTTAATCCATTTATTGTGAACAATCAACAAATTTTCTAAAAATGTTGAAGAAAAAACTGTTTGTTTGAATCGATTTGAAAAATCTCTTATTTACACATACGAACTAATCTATTTACAAATTTCCATCGTATTGTGATAAATTAATAATAAAATTATATATCGATATTGTTAGGCACTTGATAAGCATTTTGTGTGGGGAAGAATTCGGATTGTATGAGGTAAAATTTGATAAACAATTTCTAAGGAAATGCATACAGAAGCGGTCAAGTGACTTTGACTTGACTCAAGTCTTCCGGTAGGAAATGTTTGTATAGTATCACAATGTTGATCTAATTTAGGAGGTCGTCGGCAGTTATTCGTTTAAAAATTTATCCAATTCCTTATTCTCAATGTCGTTGTCTAGAACAATTTCCTCTAGGCTTAGCGTTTGTTGAACTGCCTTATGCTCGATTTCAATTTCTGCAATGAAAAAGAAAATGCATGAAAAATTGTATGTCCAAAAAATGTGTTCATGTTGAGAGATTATTACTTGGGATTTTTCCAACTTCTTTGTAGTATTTTAAATCACTTTGAAATGCATCTTGGAAGACAGCCTGTCGCTCTTGTTGCAAAAGTCGCATTTGTCTTTCACTTTCTTTCACCGTATCTGCATGCTTCGACGCCAGACTTTGGCGAACCTTTTCCAAATTGGCTAGTTTGCAAGGAATTTTTTTTAAAGAAATTTTAATCAATATGTTAAGTTGGTATCAATAGATAAAAACAGGCTTCAAAATTGCCCACCTAATTTTCGTTCTTTGAACATTGCCATTTCGAATTTTCTGTCCAGTTGTTTCTCTTGTAGCTGCAGCAATTCCATCAAGTCTTCCAGTTCAAAAAGTTGATTTTCAACTTCGGTGCACTTATCATTGATCTCAATCATAATGGTCGAGCAATTTTCTATGGTTTGAACGATGTTCGGGATAATTTCAAGCGATATATTAATATCCGATAAATCAATGCATCGCTTCTTAATGGATTCGGTTAAATTGGAAATCATTTCATCACATGTTTCGGCTTTTTTTGCATTTGATTCATTGGCAGCGTGCAATTCTTCCCAAATTTTCTCATTTCGATCGAGCAATTCGCATCCAGCACCAAAATTAATTGCATCGGAATTTGGCCACTGTGTTGATGTGATCTTTGTGTGATCACTGGATGTTGATGACGATGCAGATGTTGACGGTATCAATAGGCCAAGATGATTCAAAACCTTATTCGGTGACGATGCACTCGGTGCAATAGTTGGACTTGATAAATACATATTTTCTATGTCTGGCAAAACTGCATTCACCTTCTTTCGTAAATTTTGAAACATTTTTTTTCTCCTTTGCTTCGTGTAATTCCCGATAAAAAATGAAATGAAAAAGGAATAAATTCGCCGACGCCTCAATGGAATGGAATTGTAAACAAATCACTGTGCTAAATAATAAAACTCTAATAAAATAATCATTTAAAAATGAAAAACAACAAAATAAAAGAAAAAGAATCTATTGTTGCCTATCCATACAACTGCTGTTTGACAGTACAATGTGTCGTCGTCACAGTGTTTGTAAATAAACCGCAAATGACAGTTCATTGCAAATGAATTGGAATTTAGCGGTACAAATTCCCAACAAGCAATGCATACAACGTTCATTTTCAAATAACGTTCATCCACCGAGTTTTCCGTGTATTAGAAAAACCAGTTTACGATTGCGATACCTTTTTTCTTCGTCTAAGTAGTCAAAGATTAGAAAATTGAAAGATGAAGCAACGATAATTGGAAATGCAAATAACGAATGAACTTTTTTTAAAAAGCCCCTTTCGCTTTTTCCAGCTTGTTTGTTTCGAACAAATTTGAAATTTCATATTCGTAGCTGAAGTTTGAATTTATGTGAAAAGAAAACGGTCAGCAATCAGCTATGAATGTAAGAGTTACATTTTGACCGGTTTGACGTAATCAAAGGCAGCGCATTTTTTTGCTCAATTAGCGATTCAAAATGATTGTCAATATGAATTATCACATTCTTATCATTATTTATTTAATGAAGGAAAATATGCGTGGCATACAGATGCGAACAAAATTGGACGATTGAAGATTTGTTTTTCAACAAAAACAATAGAAGCCAATGGAATAGATGGCTGAGAAAGAGAATAATTCTCATGCCTAATTTGAAGAGAAAAAGAAATGAATAATGTTGTTTACATTTCTTTGCTTGGTATGTATGGCGGCCAGTGCAGCTTCTCCCACCCATTGCCAATAACGAAGATGATGCTCAAAGATTGAATATGAATTTCAACTGTTTTTAGATTGAATTTGAAGTTATATTGTAAAACTCATCTTATATTCAAATTTACTGCAAAACGATTGCTTCAAACGAATCAAAGGTCAACATCATTAATGTTTGAAGTTTTCTAATCAATTTTCAAGCTTTTATACGGTCATTGAAACGAAATGTATTACAAAATCGTGCCTTTTTCAATATTTCTCGAAGCAAAAAAGTAGTAATTGTTCTGTGGGGGCGGAATATTCAAAAGTGTTATCGTTCATTGGGTTTAATATTCAAAAGAGATAAGCATGTTGCAAATATTGGCTATTTGACTTATTCTGATTCCAAAAATCATATAAAGGTCTTTTCTGGCAGAATAAAAACGGTAATACAATGAACGGCATCTCTTTTTAATGAGTTTTCCTCTCCTTGGAAAAAGTTTTTTTTAAAGTTTTATGATAATTTCTCAACTTTTAGGTGTATTGTTGCCGCTTTTCAAGCTCAAAATTTGGATCCTAGCGCACAAGGTTGTTGAATTAGTTGAAATTTTAATTCAAATTCTCCATGGAAACAGAGCGCGCATGCTTCATCAAAAAAAGACCATATAGTCCATCCAACTTTCTCGACCCATGCATGCGCAAACCTATGCAACGAATCTATATACGTGTTTCAATGATTTCCTCTTTGATGCTCATTCTACTCTTATCAGCTGAGGGTCGTTCGATTTTCGACCCAAATACATCAAGTATTAAAATGTCAGCGCAATATTTTAGATGCAGAAGCAAAACTCATTGCACAATTTCTGTATGGCAGAAACCAGACAATTTGAAAGGCAATAAGGAATTGTACTTTGTCTTTTGTTATTTTTAGACTGACACGATTCAAATGCCACGCTTATTCGTGCTAGTGTTCATTTTATTGAACTAATTTAACGAGTTACCGCCACTTACCCGTACACTGCCTTATTTATTGCGACCAAAATAATGTGACTTTATTGAAAATCACATCATTTGACCGATACGCGCGTGATTTGACCAATAAATCAACAACAAGCATTGATAATAGTAATTTTTGGCTTTCTACGTTATCGCACATGGAAAAATAATTCTACAATTTTCGTAGTCCTGAGATTGCATATAACGCGCTTCATTTAAATGCAACGAGAAAATTAACATTGTAGATAAAGTAAGACTAGATAACCAGTTCTGATTACGTCAATGAACTTCAATTAGAATGATGAGCAGTTGAACGCATTCGAACAACTGTAGACTATTTCGTAATGCAAGCCAAATTTGAGTTTGGTTACGAACAAGACAATAAATTACTTTGAAGATATTTGTACTAAAATGTTCTAAAAGTCCGATGTACTAAAAATTGAGTGTACTAAAAACTGGGGAAAAAAAATCACGGGTCAGTATAGACGGATCGTCTTTATAATTATAATTCTATGCGTGAGATGTATATTTTTTCTCGATTTATATCGTCGAAAAGAAACGTATGTTTTCGCGATTTTCGCGGAACTGATAAGAGATAACAGGATATTCTTTTCAGAAATGTTGTAGTACTCAAGGTCTTCTATAACTTTGCTGAAGAGAGTAATCTCTTATTGCTGATCAGTTTCATGAAACATATGACTCATTTTCGTATACGTAAATCATATCATTTCACTCATTACACGGATTATGAACATTTCAAAAATGAAAATATCAAAATTCAAACCATATAAATGACTTCCATACAAAAATGCCTGTTTCCGCCAGTATCAAGTGCGTATAGCACGTTCAAAATCATACCATTCCCGACGTATATACTCCTATCCACAAAATTGTTTAATTAAACGTACTGAAGTGCAGTATGCTTCAATAGTTTGGTTCAGCGAAACGGTGTACTTTTGCTATCGTCATACAAATTCTTGGGCCAATACCATTCATTCACGAGGGGAGTACAGTCGACTGACTGCTGCTGGCCTTCGATTGTTCTGTGTCGCAACGGAATATAGCATTGTTTGCCCATATTTTAAGAAGCATTACGTCATTCACTCAGACTCCTATATTATCTTGCATTGTACAAATATTTTGTGCTCCAGGCAAAACGTTTTATTTATTTCTCTTCTTTGTTTCTTTTTTTTTTAATAAAAAAGTACGTATGAAGGTTCAATGTGGAAAACAACAACCGTGTATATGGTATATACTTGTTGTTGATTTTTCATTGCGACTCAAATCGTGAGCTCAATATAAAACAGCAACAATGTGGCATTATTACATGGCAAACGCGTGTAAAATGGAATGCACATGAAAAGTACGGATATTTCGCAATGAGTTGATTCACGCTTTTCTCATTTCGTTACATTTCAACGATTTCGTACAATAGCACTGCGTGCTGTTCGTAGTGACATATGCGAGTCGAAAAGTGAAAGAGGGGGAAAATGATTAGGTTTCACTACGTAAGCTAGCAGAGTCATTGAGTCAAAATTACTCATACCCTAAATGAGTCATCTCATGACTGCTCACTGCTCTTACCCTAATAAATAAATATACACAAGCGTATTGGCATATCTCAAACGCGTTTGGCATTGTATTTTTCCCAATATTTCTACACTTCGGAGCACAGATTGAAATCAACGATTTTCCCCTATTCAATAACAAATGCCAGTCAATCAAATTTGAAATACAATAATATTTCTGGAATTAAAATGCTAATGTAAGTTTAATATTACAGTAAATATTGATATTACTTTGGCTTTTTTATTTGTCCACCTTTTTTTTTGAATATGTGAGCAGATAGGTGGGAAATAAAATGAGAAGATATAAGGTTGTTTTTTGCAATGGTTGTTGAATTTTTTGTCGTACAAAAATACAAAACCGGGTGTGTCAAAGGTCGGTCGTTGATAAGCGCGATGGAAACTTTTTTCGCCCCTCGTTATCATTAGTGGAAGTTTTTGTACGAACACATATCGGTTTATTTATGAATGTGTCAGAATAAAACCTGTTTCCAACACAAATATAAATCAATAAAAATGAAATATTGTATCAGCTAGCAGAGTGTATTCACTTACGCGTCGATCCGCTGCTAAGAGCATTTGCGCGTCAAAGCGAAACGAAATTTTGTAGTTAAATGAATGTGTAACACCGTACTCTTACACTCAGACACTTTGCATGTAATATAAGTATTGCAGTGTTCCGCTTTTATGTAACCGCAAAATTTTGTTCCGCAAATATTTGTGAGTTGCGCTTTGTTACGTGTGCTTATCAAATGTCGTTTTTATTCTGATGCCTTCATATGTTTCACAACTTCCAACAACTTCAAATGCTTCTTAAACGATGTTCTATTCTTTTTTCTATTTTTTAACGAATATCCCGTTCATTTATTACGTTCATTCATGATACGCATACAGGAAATAACCTTGCGATAATAAAAGACAACAAACTCATATTCAAGAACCTAGCAAATATACAATTTAACATGCGCATTATGTCGTTGAGCACTAAGTCGAAGTTTCTCGCTAACGTCGCTAGAACACGAAATCTTCTACAGCACCATAGCGATTCAAAATTATATACCATAATGAATAATGTACCTACTACCTATATAATATAACATTGTTATTGAATAAACAAAACGAATGCCTGGTATACGGTAAAATGCAAAGCAATTAAATTTCCAAATTCAAAAACAATTCGCTTCATTGCTCTTGCGAAAGCATTTCTCGAGAGAATGTTTACAACATTTGCTGTAAATAGGGCCCGCAAAAGTGCACCGCATTCACTTTGTGTTTTTCTTTCGACTGAAAGTAAACGAAAATATTAGTTCAATGACATGTCCCATGGAATATTTCACATTTTTTGGATGAGAAACTCACCAAAAAAAGAACATTTGTTCGAGAAATCGTCATTCGAATTGTTTCGCATAATAACGTAAACAATTGCTATTTGTATATTCAAATGGAAAAATCAGCAGATGATTGTATCGAGCAATTTTAAATCATTAAGTCGAGAAAAATGCAAAATTGCTAGAAAAGTTGTAATGATGCTATTTATACCATACAATAAATGCAACAAAATGAAAAATTTATAATAGTCATAAATATTAACGTGACATTCATTTCAAATTTGCTTCGAAAATGACTGAAGCAAATATTTGAGGACCTACAGAATGGAATCACAGGAAGCCACGTCACATGTGAACAATTTACCCTGAAATTCCGTTTGCTATGAAGTTGAATTAAAAAAAATAGGTAGAAAGTAATCGAGTTTGTGTCATTGATTAACAATAGCTAATTATGCATGGTGAATGTTCGACTTTATTATAAATATAGAAATCAATTTAATTAACTAAAGTAATGAATATTGTAATGCGGTAATTTATTATTTATAAGTTACTCGTGCTAAATTGTACGGTATGAATAGGCTAACAACGTTAGAATAATATTGGTTGTTGTAACAGAGAACTCAAGAGAACCAGTTTCTCGTGGTACAGATCTGGTCTGGTCTGGTTGAGACATGAAAAATCCGAAAGTTTGCATGCACTAGGTCAAACTAGACTTACGTAGATGAGTGAAAATATTGTAATTAACCAATGAATGCCAGTAAACTGAAGATATATCTGCAAAATCGATTGCAGCGCCGCGAAGTTCGTATCCATTGAATACTATTCACAGAATTGTCTATTGTGTCCGTGTCGAAGGACTTATTCATACAGTAAACACACAATTGTCTATGTCATTCATAACGAAGAGTGTTTATTGTTGCGACTAAAATAGCGCGTGCATTCGTTTCCGTTACCCATTGTGATTAACCCTCAACTGCATAAGCCCGCCTTTTGGCGGGCATCATTTAAACACCTGTATAATGTGAATCGTACGGCGGATGACATTGCTTCAAGGGGAATTTTTATTTGTCAATGTTTTTTCTTTATTTTTGTCCTTGGCGTCATTTGTCTATGTCGTACGATTGGTGAGTTATAAACAAAAATGTGCACGAAAACGAAAATTTGACAAAATAAATTATTCAGTTTCCAAATTAGACATATTTTTGACACTTTTAAACAATGGATTTCATTGTTCTCTGACTTATTTCTATCGCATTTCCTGACTAAACCATGGGAAATCTAGGATTATGAATATTTTTTTCGTTATCTATGGCCAAAAATCAACCAAATACCAGTACTCCCAGTCCTGGGGAAAATTCATGCAGTTGAGGGTTAAGTTAATCAGATTAACTATCACTATTCATAGCTACTTTGGGACTTTTTGACTGACCGAGGTTGTGGGCTGCATTCAGAACTATAGCAGATCGAATGTGAGTCATGGATTTCATTGACTTTGTCTAACTTCGCTTTTGACTTTCATCGTGTATCTCTTATCATTGGAGTGAAAATCACCAATAAGTCTATGTTCAAAGGCTCTCGGAAATTTGTGCCTAGAACGTCAAAGCAATTGACATTTCAATGCTTTTAAGTCAGTAAAACGTCAATGCTGCCAATGACATTGACGTTCGAGGCAAAAGCAACATAGGCGATTTCCGAGAGCCTTTATGGATTTCGTTTTTTGTTTCACATTAAGGTCAAAAATACAAAGTTTAATTTGCGCTACAGACAATTCGACTAAAGTTGACTATTTTGTTTGGAGATAATCACTTTTAGCCAGTCAATTGTCAATCAAAAAGTCTCAAATTACTTATGAAGAGATATGGTTAGTTACAACTCTCGGGGTTTTATACGATTTCCAGTAAAATGGAAAGCCGTTTATACGAAATTACATATAGATTGGCATTTAGGTGGCTCCATTACATCGGAATCCGTATAGAACACTATGTAAGTTTAACAGAAATTTAACAGTTTTTTTTTGTACTTTTAAACTTAAACACATGACTGGTATATATGCTAATATAATAAACGCAATATCAAAAGAACAGATCACACCCGTGTGCCATTCTCCACTTGTATTATTTTTACATTGAAAGGCGCTGCAAGACCTTTACCACTCATAATACATACTTGATACGAGTGGAGGCATCTTATGAAAAATGGCACAAAATTTTCATAGTACAGTTAATTTGTTCATTGCCACTTTTCGTTTGTAGCTTGACGAATTGTAATTTGTAACTTGTACCTCTTGTAAATCTAGTAAATGTTGTAATGTAATTTCTCATCTGTAAATTTTTATCCAAATTTTGGGGATTCCTTATGAATTTGAAAAAGGCTGAATCTTGAGAAAAAAAAATCAATGAATTGCCGAAAATATCGATTGTTGAGATCTTGACGCCGATTCCAAATATTGAATTGTTTAAATGTAACAAAAATTGTAACGAAGAAAAAAGTTGAATAAAAAACATTAAAATGGAATAAATTTTCAAAATGTGTCTATACCAATAGATCATTAGCAATATTTCAGTGGAAAAAATGTCCAACCCAAATATTTGCACAATGAATACAACCGCCGCTTTCGTAACTATGAATAGCATTTGAAAAGACATTATGTACATATATGTATTTTATCAAATACCTTGTGGATTTGCCGTAGGATTTTTATATTGAATTGACAATATTTATTTTGGTGAATGTTTTACGACCGTGTGGTATCTCTGTATCTTATAGTCACGAAGGCTGTATATATAATTATCTATATGGACGTATATGTATATATGAAATTCAGATGTGAGCTACTTTCGCCTTGAATAAGAGAGATCGAATGGATTTCTTTTACATAGCATTAGCATGATAATTACAAGCAATATATGTCTTGAAAACGTGAATGACTTTCAGGAAAGGTAAAAACCAAACCGAACCGAACTGAAGACCAATGATGAAGTTTACGAATGATACGAAATATACGATAAAATCGATGTTGAACATTCTACAAAGGCAGCATAATCTTGCGGCTTTGTATCTTGTCGGTTGAATGTAACCTTCCCTCTTTGAGTACCTTCTGGCATTGCTACAGCGAATGTACAAAATGCCATCAACTCCGACAGTTACAGCTATCAAGTGGAATGATAGATTGCTTTCGATGGGTTTGCCTTTAGCCCACATGCTCACACAGCATTATATGCTGTTTCTTGGCATCAACATAATATTGTACATAGCACGATGGATTCGAGAGAAGTTTGTGAATATAATATCTAGCCTGAAATAACATTTTCTTCTATATAAACCCAAACGAATTGAAGCGGGCGAATGTACGGAGAATGAGAGAAAGATCCGAAATAGATTTTGAAACTCGACATCATTCATGTACCGAACCATATGCTGCAGCAATTCTGTGTGTATGACTCGACAAAACGAGAATTGAACGAGCCAAAAATCGATCGAATTTCTCCTAACGAGCCAAACATGAGTGCAAAATGGAATTCAACACCCAAAACCAGAACATTGTACATAACGTTAATGGATTGGTACCATAGTTACTTTTTTATGATTGCAATTAGTTGTACATCAACAAAGGTCACACCATGCCATGATACAAGTATAGTGCTGACTCAAATGGATTTAAACCATTTAGTGAATCTGCTCACTAGTGACATCTAAGTTGTTGGAAGACCAAGCAGGCGATTTTTCAAATAAATTTCTTTTTTGATTCAGTATACGTAAATAGTGAGACTCACAATGTGAGTCAAGTATCCCAGACAATTTTTGACTTAAATTTTGACAGAAGTAGGGACTTAATGCCATTGTATGTAGTCAAACGCACTAACCAATGTGACTAAATTTATAATTAGTACGTGTGGTTTCAGTACGGCAACATCAATTATTTATGACAATTTTCACATTGACTCAAAAAAAATATCCATGACAAAAATTTGGCTGTTGCTAAAAAATGCTCGAATTATGACTATTGAGTCAATAGTATCGACCTCAATTTGTATTCAAAAAAAGGCCTTCGATTTCTAAAGCTAATCCAATTTTAAGTCAAACCAGAAAATGTTGAAAAGAAAAATATCCGAAAATGTTTCAGATTGTTTGACTCAATTTGAAAACATTTGCTCATTACATCACATACAAGAGCTGAATTCCGAAATAAATATTTCGTGATTATTGATACGTGACTGCGGCTCTGCTTGCCATATGGCTGTGTATAAATAGTTAATTGGATGACTAAATATTTCTATACGAGACTGTTCATACGATGTGTGTATAAATTAATTAAATATGCAGCTGTTTGACTCAGTAGCTCAAGGCACTAGACTATTGCGTTGTATATCGGCCTGAATATGCGTATAGAATACGAATGTGGATAAAGTTGGAGAGAACAAATGTGTAGGACTTTTGGTGTATGTTTTTGTTAAAACAAAAATCGATAAGCGTTTCAGGGAGAAAAAAAATATATAAAACCAACAAAGTTTCATGCTATGTGCATGTGAACACACACAATATACTCGGTTCCCCTCGAAGACCATATGCTGTCTTCATCGTCGATGGTATGGTATCGCATGAATGGAATTGAATTTGGAAAAGAACATTCAAGACATTGAATCTGGTTTTATGAGGCAAACCGAAGAGAGTGACCGAAGTGAGCAACGGAAATTTCATAACCATGGCAATAATAAATAAAAGATTTTATGGCTTGCAGAGTTCTCGGCATCAGATACGTATATGAATAATGCATTAAGCAAGCCTCAGCTCTATCTTTTCCTATTTTTAACGAATTGGATAAATGTTGAAGAGAGAAGTTATGTAGAGTTACCAATGTATAGTACGTGGCGACGATATTTTGTACGGACTCCCCTTAGTCATGAAAATGGTATTGGACCGTATTCTGCGTCACTGCGTACATTAATATATCTTGATATAGCTATTGTTGAGCAGATACGACGAATGTAATTTTAGATATTTACCGTCGGCGTTTCGATTTACAATCCCTAATGATCATCTATCGTGTCGTTGCTACGGCGATGCTGAACACCAAAATGTTCACAAATTTGATACCATGCCAAAATGAAATGGAAAAAGAGAAAATAAACGAAATAAATTTCGTTTGGCTCAGGTTTTTCCGAATAAGATAGCAGAAAAAATCGATATATGGTTAGTACAACGCAAAGTGTCCATTCCCTTGGGGACAGATGTATTTTCCAAAAAGCAAAGATTCGTAAGATAGATAAGCAATGTACTTTGAGATGGGTTCCGTACCTAAAACAGGACGTATTTTGCCAGATGTGTATCTGTTCAACACAAAACTAATCCCATGCCGTAGACTTTAATCTACGTATTTGATCAGGTTTTTCGTATTATGTTTCGCTGCAGGACAAAAGGAGTATGTAATTAACTCACCTAGGACCACTACCATTCCAAATTGTAAGGGGAGTCCTAGGCGACAAGGATGAATAAAAGTAAAAAGAAAATGAAATAAAGCGCCTCTTGAAAAGAAAAATCCATAAAAACTGTAGACTTTACAATTTATAGATAAGATAAATTTTGGGTTGTCGTTAATAAAAACGCAATTTATGAACAAAGCAAATGAGCGTCTTCGTTGCTCGAGTTGATTATTTTTTTGTGTCTTTTTTTTATATATATATATTTTTTTCGTTTTTGAACGGTTTGAGTTTCTAAAGGAAAACATTTCCCATTGTGTGATATTGTTGGTTTTGCTGTTGCCGTCGCTGTTGTCGTCGGTCGTTGTCGACCGCTGCCTCGCATCGAATCGGTTCTCTGTCTGTAGCTGTGTGCGCACACACACAAACCAACTGACATTTCATTCGAGATATTTTATTGTGGATTACCGTTTCGCACTCTTCTACCATACACATCGTTCGAATGTACTGCCAGACGTCTTTGCACTCTCATACGATGTGCATGTGAACCAACACTGAATCTGTGTGTATAAAAATAGTAAACAACGGAAAGAAATACCTTCGGTTGGATTTTACGTGAATTTGTCAAAAAGAAATGAAGTGTTTGTAATTGCAGTTACAAGTGACGTTTACAACGCAAGTGAAGGTTAGTTATTTTCACAATAGCCGAAAAATTTGCGTATTTGTGTCTGTGTTATTTATAATTTTTGTTATTGTTGTGATTAAATACAAATCGAACAATGGTTTGATATTAGACAATCAAATTCGTTTCTTTTTTTTGTTTACTATAAATTACGGTTATTCTCAATGTTCTAATTCTTCCTTTCTTTCCATTTTTTTTCTTTTCTTTTTTTTCTGGCACACAGTTATCAAAATCTATTGCGATTATATTACAGAAAAATCAATTCCGAATGGTTGTTTATTGTGGCAAACGGGGTTTTCTTTCATTAATTTCATTTGATTACTATGACATCCGAAACATTGAACGGAATTGACAATTTCTCATCCAATTTGGCATTTAACAATGATCAAAACAGCAACGGTAAATCAAAATTTCTTTCTTCATGCAATAATGTCGTTTTAATTGATTTCTTGTGCACACATTTTCTGTTTGTTTACATGTTTTTTTTTTATTTTTGGTTTTTCGTTCCAAGTGTTAACGTTGTTATTTTTTTTTTGGTTTCATTGTTGATCTAGCGCTACAAACAGATCATGAAGATGGTACCAATTTTCGAGATGAAATGGATTCGCTTTTGAGTAATCCAGCGTTCATCGATGCTTTAAATGTGGCTAACTTTGAAACAGTGAACAATGATGATGCTAACGATGTGCCGTCACACGACGAAAACAATGCAGTGGTTGATGTCAATGTCAATGATGATGACGATGTAGCCAGTGAAGAAGCAAATGACCTGGAAACGGAGAAATATAATAACGAATGCAATTCAAATCTTGTATATCGGCCGATTGAAAAACTGCGAATTGTAATACCGACCATGTCATCACCGATTAGTATGCATTCATCATCATCCGAATGCAGTTCACCGGTTCGATCGAAAAAGAATAAAAAACGTTTTTGCATCAAATGTAATATACGTTTCAAGCACACCGTCGATTGGTTGAAACATTTAGAAAAGCATGTTAGTTTACCATCGATAAAACTAATGCAATTGGACACAAACAACGAACTTTACAAAGACTATCTGGAGCGATGTAAAACAGCAACGAAACGTAGGCCATCGTCATACAGTGAAAACGGAAACGAGTCCGAACATGAGCATGAACATTTAAGGATTCGCTTAAAAATTCCACGAACTGAAGCTTCCGATCAAGTGGGTGAAAATGGTATAAGTGAGAATCCATCAGAGCCAATAGCCACGATGGTCAACACGGAAAAAACTCCGCCAACTCCTCCGATTAATGGATGCCGTATTCGAGTGCTGCGAGCAGAGGAAATTAAACAAAGTCCACCGAGAACCTCACCAATTCATATCCATTTACCGGATAATGCAATGGTGTCATTGCCATCGGACAATCGCATTCACTATGAGTGCCCGTCACTCGATGGGCTCAGTCAATTTGCTGAAGAGGCAATGAACGAAGAATCAAACGCACAAATTTTGAAGAAATTACTCGAAACGTCAAATTTACCGCCCGAATCAGGTGAATGGGATTCAACGCAGGTAAATGAATTCATCTCAATCGATCGTTTAGCGCACTTATGTAAAACATGTAACGAAAAGTATCCCAGCCTCAATTTATTGCACGAGCATCAACGATTGACTGGCCATGGACACTCACAATTTCCATCGATACTCGAGCCAATTCAAGAAATGATCGTCGATCCAGTGCAGCAATATCGTCCGCCGCAAACCAGCCGATTGGAACACCTATTGGCTCAACAGAAAAATAGTCTGCCACCACCGCTAACACAGCAACAACGACCACCACCGCCAATGTATGGCCAACCACCTGAACTTCCAATTCATCAAATGGAAAATCAAGTTCGTAGCTTTGCGAACATGCAACAAATGCCAAATCGTCCACGATTTCCGATGCAACCGACAAGGCATCCATCACAAGTTCCTCCTAATTATCCGATGCACCGTTATCCACCGCACATGCAACCACAGTCACAAATGGTTCGACCGAATGGTATGCAATCCAATCAACCGATCAATATGACACCGTTCCTAAATATGAGCCCGGATATGTACAATCCACGACAGTCAAACAATAACAACATTCCAATGAATAGTAGCGGCTTGAATGCATTCAACAGAGGCCCAGCTCCAATGATGAACCGTTTTATGCCGCAACAACAACAACAACAACAACAGCAACATCAACAGCAACAATATCCGCCGCCGCCACAAAATCCCAGTGATATGATGCACCGTTTTTCATTGCAGCAACCACTACAACGATCTCCAATGAATGGACCATTGAACGTGCGACCTGCTCGCAATGTGCCGCCGTGTCCAATCCGACCGATTATGGGTAATTCACCACCAAATCGACCGAGTATGGGCCCATCGCCACCAATGCGACCAAATATCGGCAACTCACCTCCAATACGGCCGAATATGGGTCCATCATCACTGATGCAAAGGCAACCACCGATGGCAATTTCGTTGGACGAAAATCAAAGGGCTCGTTTCATGATGCGAATGCGAGAACTTGAAAATCGACCATTTATATCGAATGCACCACGCACTGAAGGATTGCCTGTGATTGAATCTGTACAAAGTGGAGCGATTACATTGAATACGACAAAAAAACCCACTGCTGAATCAACACCAAAAACCATTCAAATAAACGATCAAATCACACTAAGTGTGAAAAATAAAGAGCCTATTACGACGGGTAAAATCGCCGAAAAACGCACAACACCTCCGGCAGCTGATAGCAATACAGTTGCGAATATACTGGAAAAACGCGGCATCACCGTGAAATCAACGACAAAATTGGCGGAAAAATCAAAAGCCATCGATGATTCCAACAAAACACCGTACGCTTCAGCCGATGCAGCCGTGCAGAAGCTCCAAATGAATAATTCGGTCAGCATTATACAGAGGAAAAAGGTAGTTACTCCGCCTGCAGCTCCTGCTTCGACTTCGACTTCGGCTACGGCTACGGCCACGGCTACAGCTACTACTACAACTGCTACTGCTAATGCTACTCCGGTCGTTGTCGAAGAAACAATTGACTTATCTGACGATGATGACACTCCAGCCGAACCATTCAAGAAGCCCAAACAAACGCCAACAAAACAACCCACCGTTCTAAGGTGTCCATTGAAAAGTTGTGCCATGAAATTTTCGAATGTAAAATCGTTGCGTGAGCATGAGCAAAAAGTGCATCAAGTAACACGGTTGAGTAAATTCAAATGTACCGTTTGTTCGCTCCGTTTTGTATCGTCCGACGCAGTCAAAGCGCATATACGAAAAACACATGCCGGCCAATTGAAATCACAACCCGATTTTGGTATTCCGATTGTCAATTTTAACGATCCAGGCATTCGTAAGAAAATGTTATCATTGGGATTCACCAATTTCCTACCGATAACCAATGCTCGTTTGGACAAATCCGAAGTCTTTGGCATGCCAATCATCAATATTAACGGGCCATCGGTCAACAATCTCAAGAATATCTTCGATAGTGAATCAATAAAAGTTTTGCCAATCAACTCGATGCGAACAATACCACGGCCAAAAGTTACAGCAACAACATCTCCTCAGCCAAATCGATCCATACAGAAACCGCCACCGCCGCCATCTAATCATTTAAATGATCCAAATCTTTTAAATGGTCCAAATCATCCTAACACACCTACCACTTCAACAGACCTACTGTCGACTGCACAAAAATAATATTGCGAATTAACTCATATCTGCTTAATAGAATGTAAAAATTCTGGAAATGTTACAAAGCAAAGAAAAGATTATGACTCAGCTAAAATGATATCGTTGTTGTGTATCATTTATTTCTTGTTGAAAACAAGTTCAATGACTTACAGTTTTTTTTTTGCATTGCAAATAAAATGAAATTCCCTTGGCATCTTTGAATGTATATTTAGAATAAAATGAAAAATCAACTATTTTTTATCAGAAATTCCATGTGTGCATTTTTTTTTTGTTTTTTTTTTTCAATTCTTTTTCGAATTCTTCAATTCTTCTCTGAAAATGTTCTTAGCGTAAGTTTCACCATACGTATGGAATTATTCCATAATTATAAACACACTTGTTGACTGTTTTGGGTGAGTAATAAATTACTTTTCGTAATTTAAGTCGCATCTCTTGGTCATTGTAAAAGATACGTGAGGTCACAGAAAAAAAACGCTTTTTCCCGATATTCTAACATACGAAATTAGTAGACCTTTGCAAATAAACGAAATGTTAAACGGTATGAAAAGGTGAAATCGTTACATTTGCGAAATTCGAAACATCAATTTGGTGAACATTTTCGAAAAACAGCAATACGTTTAGTTATTGTAACAATAAAACGACTCATATTGTGGTCAAATTACACATTATACTGAGCATATTTTGCATCTTTGCGTTTCGAATCACAAAATTCACCACAATACGACGATAAGAGAATGCAAAAAAAGAAGGAAATTCAAAGGTTCGTATTCCGTCGATAAAAAAAAACAGTCAGCTATGGAACGAGATATGGAATAACGCGGAATCGTACGTTTTTTTTTTCCAACGAAATCTATCTAAATACGAAATCAGTACTGCGAAACATGATCTCATCGGAACAAATATTTTCTTTTAGAATGTGTTTTATCTGAGAGCAAAATTTCTGATATTTCCAAGATATGAGTCATTTTGTATCATACGAATCTGTTACGGTTTTCAAAAAAAGTAAGAATATTTAGTAGATCAACGCGAATTGTCCAAACAAGCACATACTTTCAATGCTTTGGAATATATTATTATTATTCCCTTTAACGAATTAGTTTAGGAGAAATGAATGCCTTCTTATAAAAATGGAACTTCAATCGCCGTTTTTAAGAAATGAATAGATCTATTCATTTGCAAAAGATTTTTCACCATTTACTTCATTCAAAACGAATAAAATATAACGGTAGAATTCGACAAGAAAATTTTATTTCAAAACGATTCATCCAGGGTCCATTATCCGTAAAACTCGATACAAAAAATCAATGGCTTTGAATGAAGCCGTCATTTCACCAGCGCGGGATCCGCTTGGATTTATTTGGAAAGAATGAAGTCTCATTTTCTTTATAAGGTATTCAATTTGATAGAAAAAAGCAAATCGGCCAATAGTATCAGTGGTCCAATACTGAAAAAAGGAATAGAACATGGTTGTAACGCATCTGCAATAATAAAGAAATGAGAGATGATCTGGACGACGAAGGCTGTTCCACATTATTTGTGTACCGCAGATGCATTATCAGGGATTTTTCTGGTTCAACTTCTGATCCAGGACAGTTTTAAAAGCGCTACTTATTCTTTGACTGATTCAGTTATACCAATTTTAGCATTGAGTCATCAGCTAAACCAATGAATCATTTACTGGAATGTTCGTGTTGTTCAAATTATCAGGGATCAAGTGAAAGTAAACCCCTTATATCAACATCCCTCTGCTCATATCATTAGGGTGCAGTCACACTAGGAAACATTTTACTGGAAACATGGAAACAAATTTTCGCAAATGTATGGGAAAAAAAGTGTTTGTTTCCAGCATCTTTTTTTCCATACATTTGCGAAAATTTGTTTCCATGTTTCCAGTAAAATGTTTCCTAGTGTGACTGCACCCTTACAGTCCACTTATGAATTTATCTAGTAAATCAACCGAAGTGTCATTCTCTGTTTAAAATGGATACATATTTCCCACAAGCATTAGCCCAATATGAGTCATAAACAAACAACAATATATGTATATGAGTCATAACAAAAAGGCTAACAAATACCTTAAATGGTTATAGTTTATTAATAAATGAAATCCAACGATGCTTCGTCAGCTATGGAACGATACACGTAATTAAAACAAAATGACACAGAAATAAATAATTTATAACTCGAAATTGGTTCATTTTTCGGCAACATCCACTGAAAATAATCGGATGAAGTACAGTGAGAAATATGATCTCATCAAAACCAAATGTTCCTTATTTTGAAATGTAATCGCTGTTGAGAGCAAAATTATTGGCATTTTCAAGATATGATGTCATTTTGTGACATTCGTTTCGGTTTCAGAAAAGTGTTCTCCGCCCGGAATGTAAACAGCCTTTTTATTTGCTAGTCGACGGAAATTATCAAACAGAATATGAAACAGACAAATGGGAACATGATTTGTCATGGGCTGAAAACAAATATCGCTTTTTTTTTTAAATAAATGGTAATAAAATTCAAATGCATTGAAACTTATTTATTTATTCCTTCTTTGTCGCAATCGCCATGTTCGTTTGAAAATTACAATGAATGGTGTAAAAGAGAGTGTTAATTTTCTTTGAATTGTTTTTAAACTGTTCGCCATCATTTACTTCTGGAATATGTTGATTTGAATAAACCAAAAATGGATATATCATTGAACATCAATTTTTTGCTCTTTTTATCGCATTCAGTTTTGGTTGTGTCTAAGTAAGTAAGAGTGATGGAATCTTTTTTTTTCTTGTGATATCACTTCAAGTAAGAGAAGAAACAATTTTCAAAAGATCTAATTAAAAAGTGGGAGAATTTGATTTTAGCTTTTACTATCTGTCTGATGCACACACTTTGAGTAAACTGAAATATAATGCATTTCGCAAGCAGTGCTTTCTTCTTCAGTGAATTTATTTTCAAAGTGCACTGAAGAAGAAAGAGCAGTGCTTTCAAAATTGAATCTACTCACTAAAAACTGAATCTACTCACTGTGTTAAGTAGGAAAAAACCAAAACGTGTAAACATTTTTGGAAACACGAGCAAATTTTTCGTAATTATAATTATTAGAGGCTCCACGAAATAAATTATTCCGAAATAATTTATTCTCAAAATATTTGTATGAAGAATAAATTGTTTCGTAAAAAAAAAGAAATAAAATATTTAATGGATTATTTTGTGAAAAATGCCGTGACATGATTGAACCAAAATAGAAGGGTGATCCAAAGAAGAAAACCAAAATAGTTAAACAAATGTGGAAGTGTCGACATTGTTGGTTGCAAAAGACTAAAAAACCAACGGGGCCTTAATAAGCGCATTAAGACACAACTTTCTACAACACCATATTCGTATCTAATCCGACAGTAGCATCATGTGTTTATTCAAAATAATTTGGGGTGATTCTATCCGATTCTATCAAAATGGATTTTCCTTTTTTCCATAACTTTTTCCATTGGAATGAATACTTAATCCATATTGTGAAATATGTGGTACAATATACCACTGCCACATGCTTTACCCAAGGTCGCAATGAATTTAAGTCTTTAAAGGATGAATACTGTCATACTGTGAAGCATTCAAATATTCGAGATCAGCTCAAGTGAGTCACTCACTGTGAGTGTCTATGGAGATTATATCTTAAATGTATTCTTTCTGGGAAATAATGAATGCTAAATAATTTTTGGAATGTCTATCGTGTGTGTATTTCATATCTTTCACACACCTATTCAATAAATCAACTCAGATGTTTTGGGGTTGCTCAATGGAGGAAACATTTAATGTTTAACATGAATTTTAAGCACTTCATAATGTAGATATCATCTTTAAACTCGACGAATTTTCAATGAGTAGCAACACTGCATCACTCGAAAGATTCTAATTCCCATATTTCTATCAAGTGTCTTGTTCGCATTTATATGTAAAACAAGGCTAGAAATATGTTTTGAATTATTTTTAGCAAATAGCGATTAAATCAATATTGGAAATGTTGAAAAAATTCAAAACCTTCAATCTAATTTGAAGTAAGGCACCCCTTCTACGATTCTACCCATGTACTTTGATATAAAAATCCTTGAATTGGCTGGAAAATACGTACATGATGCTCACGTAAAACTGGAACCATTGACATAGTGAGTAAAATTCCAAGTTGCCTCCAACTTTTTAATTACATAGAATTATAACTTTGGACGCCTATAGAAACTATCGATTTACATTGAATGATTTGCAACATGCGATGTGGGCAATGCTCAATGCAAATATGAACCGGAGATATGGAACACACAATTCGTACCCAACAAAAATAAACGGAACTCGTTGCTTTTGCAACATGGTAATTAGGATATAAGAGTTTTTCCTGACATTTCAATGCCATTATCGGTAATATATGTGCAGAGTAAGCTAAAAATTTGGGCGCCCATTTAATTAACCGCAACTTGTTAAAAAGGAAAATGAAAAAAAATGTCTGATTGCAAATATCATGTGATAGCAAATCAACGATTTAATCAAGTGAATTTTATTCAGTTTTTTTTTGCAACGATAATTCGTTTTAATCACTAAAATCTACAATGTATTTTCCTTCTATATAACTTTAGATAAAAATGGATAAAACTAAATTGAGTAAACATTGTCAATAGTGCTTGAAACAGCTCTACAGCTTTTCGAAACTCTTGATTATTTATAACTCATTTTTTTCATTTCATTTATTTACCCGTGTGAAAAAGAAATGACTGATTGACTATAACTTCAGTTGACTTTAGTTGATTGAATTTATATTTTTGTTCTAAGAAAATCACTTGGTCCCAAATGAAGCAACTTAGATTGACTTGTAACTTCAAATGATTCCAGTTAACTATGATAGACTTACACTACACTTTGTACTGAAATTTCAATCAAAGTAAGTCATTTTTGTCCCAAATTAGTTAACTGACTGCTCAGTTACTATTTTTTCACACGGGTAATTATTTGTTTATATGACACCCATAGAATGGAAGAACAACTTATGAGCTATTTATCTATAACTGAGACGGAAAAAAAACTTAGAGCCAAAGAAAGACAAATTAATTTGCGAGCACAAGTGACACAACTCAGTGTTAAGCGGAAAATACGTTTTTTTGCATTTTTCTCGCTACTGAAAAGAGATAGCGACTAGGTGTCGCAAAGGTCCTTGTGATTGTTAGTCGTAATATGTGCGTTATCATTATGGTTTACCATGCCTCTTTGAATAGACGTTTTTCCTTCTCGTCGTCTTTGCATCGTCAATACTATGAATCATTTAATTTGGTGTTATCTGCTTCGCTGTTAACATAATTTCACTGGTTATACAATTTTCCATCGATCATTTTCATTCCATTGTAAGTCCTCCATCGTTGCCACTTTCCCATTATTACTCAGAATTTAGCAGTCGCATATAATTTGAATAAAAGATCAAAGAATTGAATTTTCATATTCATGCGTGAATATAAATGCTTAATTACGTTACTTTTTCTATGCACTGTGGTTCAGGTTTTTTTTCCCGATTCATTTGTCATTGAGCATGTCGCAGTTAGAACCGAAGTTGAAGAAAAATCATCATCATAACAAACTAGATTTGTGCAACAATAACATAGACGAGCACTGTGCAAATGCCCGCGAATATAGAAAATGCTGTATGCAGCTATTACCCCTTAGCAATTCAGTCATGAGAGATCGAATCGATGAAAAAGCACAAAATGCCTCTCTTTAGCCACAACATCATTGACGGTAGGCATCGAAAACATTCGTTTCAAATTCAGAATGGGCGATTGATTCTTCGGTGAGGAATTTTCCTTAATTAGGAATTTTAATTCAGAATAATTAAATATTCAAAAATCTTTTGTTCATTTAAACGTGAATCGAATTACAAATGAAGTAGAAATTGAATGCGCTTTACGATTGCGGCAACAAACTTAAAACCAACGAAGTCTAGATTCAGGCGTTTTACAAGTGCAGCAGACATTTTTTTTTATGTGTATGCTACGTTGCAAATGCTTTACTGAAGAAATATAGTCAAAAATGTTGAAAAAGTATTTCTGAAAAGATGTGTTAGTTATTCGGTATTAAAAAAGGATTAAATGCAATTTGTATCGGCGATAATGTGCTGTTCGTAGAAAGGTATGCAGCGAAAAAATATAAATTCATTTGTTGTATTATTTTTCTTTGCCTCTGGAATTCTCCATCAACAAATTTGACAATTCATACGTGATTCGACGAATAGACGGCTTGTCTATTGGCCATGAATATTCAAAAACCCATTATTTTGGTTGGTTGATCTAAATCATGGGCTCAACCAATCAAAATGAATTCTAAAACCAATTATGATTATGGAAAAATGAAGTTTTGATCGAAATACACACAAAATAAAGCCAGCATACACTAATACATACAGGATTCTTGTCTATATTGTGTATAAATACTAAAAATCAGTCGTTACATTTATTCCAATTTTAATTTCATTCAAACTTCAATAAATGTTGAAAACGTATTTTTCATTTTTAATAGAAAAAACAATCCAATTCCATATGGTTGACTTCACCCTTCTAATCGTTTCGATGGATTCGGTTTGAATTTGGCGCCACATGTGCGGTGTGACAGTTGCGCATTTGAACCGGTAAAACGAAATGTTGGTGTCGCTGTCGGTATCGATTTATTTTGACAGCCATTGTAACTAGCAGCTTTGACAAGAGAGTAAACATCCATTTAATTCCGACTTTCAGCCCGTCTTTCGTGCATTTTCCGAGATTGTAATTGCAACTATTGCAACTATTTCATTTGAATTCGGTGTGTAAAGTGATAGAACAATGGTACGAGGAAATATTCGAGCACGTCGTGATCATTTGCGTGGACCGCGTACAACATTCAGAAAGGCATTTTTGCCGAGACCACCATTCGATTTGGCTCGTTTCGATTTGGCATTCCAAAAAGATGCCACTCCATCAGCCGACGATAATGATTTGACTAATGTAAGTATTGCATTTTGAATACTTTAAATTTAGAACGAAAAAAAAAACGAATCTTTTATCGATTGCTTTTGGTTTACAGGCATTGTTGAAGCGTAATCAAGATTTGACACCGACCGCCCAGGAACAGACATCGATCTCGAATTTGGTGACAAAAGTGCAAAGTATTTTGGATAATTTGGTCATTGCACCCGGTGATTTTAATACCTGTGTATGTATTGGTAGCAAAGTAATTACGTTTTTGTGTGATTTTAATTGATTTTCTTTTTGTCAAAAAAAAACAGCAATTAGAAGAGGTGCGTCAGGTGGGATCGTACAAAAAGGGTACAATGTTAGCCGGTCGCAATGTTGCCGACATTGTAGTTATTCTGAAAACCTTACCAACGAAAGAGGCATGCGAAGCGTTGGCCAAAAAGGTTGAAGAAGAACTAAAAAATGCAATGAAAACCGAAGTCGTAGCTAAATCCGATGCACTGACCATTGAAAACAATGAGAAAGGCTTTGACGTGTTCAATACACATGCTCGTGTTCGCATTTTGATTACCACTTTGCCACAAAATATTCGCAAATTAGAACCGGAGACGCATTTGGATGCAAAGGAGATGCAAGGTCATTTGGCTGCCATTCGTCACAGTCGTTGGTTTGAGGAAAATGCACATCATTCATCGATTAAGGTGTTGATACGGATTTTACGCGATTTGGCCAATCGCTTTGAAGGTTTCCATCCACTAAACACATGGATGATCGATTTGCTCGCACATTTTGCCATCATGAATAATCCTAGTCGTCAAGCGCTCGCCATTAATATCGCCTTCCGTCGCGTATTTCAATTACTAGCGGCTGGCCTATTCTTGCCTGATTCGGCCGGCATTTTGGATCCATGCGAAAAGAATCACTCACGCGTCTTCACTAGTTTGACATTGGAACAACAAGATATTTGCTGTATGACCGCTCAGGTGGGGATATTTCGATTTTTATTAGAATCGCTTAGGACTTGAATCGGATTAAATCAAAGTTTTGGGAATTTTTGTAATTCTACGAAAGTGTTTTAGAATTGTATTATTGATTTATCCGAAATTAAGTTGTCAGAATTTAAATTTGGTCAATTTTTCGAATTTTGATCCGCAAAATTGAGTTCAATTTTCTCAAAGCCAAACCAACTAAATCAAAATTTATCCACAGACATTGCTGCGTGTGCTCGTTCACGGTGGCTACAAGCATATACTCGGTTTGGAAGGTAACACCAGTATCGCCCGTGAAATGTCTATTTGGGACGGTGTGGTTGTGTCACCAATGCAACCAGTCTATGAGAAACCCGACGATAAAAAGGATGAACATCCCGCCGAATTCGATGGTGATGCCATGGAAAATGAAGAAGCAATGGACGACATACAATAGATGACATACACACATGCATTAACAATTTTTTTCTTTATACTACACATAAAAGTCCTTAAACTCACAATTTGCAATGTTTTGATACATTTTAAATCGACAAAGGATTGTTTTCTTTCATTTCTTTCAATTGTGTCCAAAATTACATCAATAAAATAACATCAATTTGACTTTTCGTGCACCCAAACCATACACGCACAGTTGTGTGTATTTTTTAATTCTCTTCGTTTCACCTTTTTCTGTCTCTGGAATTTGTTGTTGTTTTCGTCTTTTTTTTTGTATGTGTTTCGTCTCGTCACCATAAAAGCGGATATGGTGATTTACGAACTTGATTTCAGCGTCAGCGTTAGCGCTATTATTCCCAACAGCGAAAATGATTCACATTTAATTGGCTATTTGTGTTTTTGATGCAATTCCAACTATTAGCGAAGTAAGTCATCGGTTTTTCAATGTCTTTTTCGCTTTATACGCATACAACAGAATCCATTTCACTCGAAATGGACATCTTAAATTCCAAAATGTTCTAGCCTAAAATTTTATTGCGATTTGTGTTAAAAATATTCCGTGTTATACAAACCAGAGACGCCAAATAGAACGTAGATTCTGTTGACGATATTATACAAACATTTAAATGTATGTTTGAAAATGACACTAATTATCACGTTAAGCGAAAAACATTATAAACGCCCGCTAGCATCCATACCATAGTCATAAAATGCGGTGATTTATTATCGAAAATTGATCATTCATCGATTCCGGATTTACGGCAATGTCAGCCGATGCAAAAAAAAATACATTAGCACAGCACGATGCGGGAAAATTCTTGTTTAGAAACATTCTGGCCGATTAAGGATGTAATTCGAGAGCAATGTGTGATATCAGCAAAATGAGGTGAATCATTCGTTGGATTTCTTTGGAAATGAACGTGAAAAAAAATCAACCATTTAATGGCAATATTTTACGGATGAAATAATTTGGCAACCAGAACTGGGAAATCATTGCTCGTTGATTTGAATCACAAATGTCTGTTTTTACGGCGATTTCAAGGACACCGTTTTGAGAGTTAAAGAAAAAAAGAGTTAAAAATTCGTCAGCCTATCGATGATGAAACCGGGTAATTTCAGTAAGTTTCTCTCTCTTACCGTCGATAATAGCGCATCGCATTAAATCGAAATGCCACTTGCATCTCTCGATGAAACATAAACATCGAAATCGATTGTTTGATTGTCGTATTTGTGGTGTGGCCCACAGTCAAAAATTCTCGTAGGATTTGTTAAATGATGCAGTCGTGACCGAATACATTTTTTGATGCCTGCTTGCTTCTTTTTTTTCTCGCATCTCGTTGTTGATTTTTGATGCTGTTGCTTTTGCCGTCATCGATGATGCGATGTTTGTCAGTAAACAAATAATAATTTGGCCATTAATTTATGTGCAGAGTGGCTGGTCGCGTCGTGGTCATTTTGGGAACTTGAAGTCAATAAATATCCGACTTTTTGAGTACGTCCGAAAAGTTGTTTCATTGTTAATGTTTGTGTGTCAGACACGGTTCATCTTGGGCCGTCATATTTTTTTTTTTTTTTTTCAAATGAGAAGTTGTTATCTACGTTATGACAAGATACGAAAAAAAAATTCAAATTTTGAACGATTCAACCTTACATTATGCCTATTACGACACACAATAAATCAATGGTCCCGTTGCAAAGCTAATCACACACAGAGGCTAATGTGACAATCGATCGATAAATTTTTTCTGGGTGCGTAACGATAACAATCGATTTGCATAATTCCAATGGTTTATCAAAGTCATGTAAGCCGTTGTCAGTTACATTATCGAAAAAATTTAATTGATTAGTGTCATCGTTTCATCGATGATACAATTTGATATGCTGGATTTTGATGAATGGTGTGCGTGGCGTGAGCGTGACAACAAATCGACACCTCTGCTGATCGCTACATACTTTGGACAACTTTTGATACAAAAGGGCTAATTGAATCAAATCAATGCAAATTAATATTGTGTCCGTTGTGTGTCCGTTTTTATCCTCGTGTGTATTTCTACCGTTGCGTTACCATCATGTGCTAACCAGACTACATCACTGCCAGTGATTCGCTGGGTTATCTAAAAACCGATTTTTCTTTTAATCGACGATCACATCCAAAGCATTACACCAAATTCAATTGAATTATAAGGTCTTTTTTTCAATGAGAAACAACAAATGAACTGAATTACGAAGATGAAATCCAGAAGGTAGCCAATTTACCTCATCCTTTTCCTATCGATGGAAAAAAAGAACGCAACTTAAACTTCATGAATTGTTTTTTCATCGTTTACGCAATGCCCATAAGTACATGCTATTTAATCACTATCTCGCGCACTACCTTTGACTCATGCGTGTAATGTTCATGGTAATGTTTTGCGTAAATTGCAATTGATAGTCCGTTAAGATTGTGAGATATCATGTGCGTATTACGAGCGCGCGCGCTCACAAATTAACCCGCATAATGAAAAATAAAAAACCACTGAAGATTAGACGCGACCTTGACATCGTAACTTTAATTCATTGTTTATTTTTTTTATTTCTCGCCACTTTTCATTCACTTTACGTCATTCATTTTTATTTGCATCAATTTCGCTTGACACTCTCTATTTATTTATGTTTTGCTATTGATTTCGCATTCCATCAATCCTTCTCGTTCAGATTATTCAACTATACGCAAACATGCTCGTTTTTCTCATTTGTCCCAAAAAAATCGTATTTTTTTTTTGTCTTCATCCGAAGAAAAGACAAAAGATTGAACTTGCAATAGACCACGCGGTGCGCACAAACAAAAGAAACAGACCAACATGATGGGGGAGAGGAAAACCCTAGAGAAACAACTAAACTTGCTCAGAATAAATCGCAAATTAATTTTGCATTGTTTTGTTGCTAATTAAATGAGACTGGAATGAGCCAAACATTTGACGCACGATTGACTTTTTGTGCAAATACTGTTATACTTTTGGGTCTGTTGGTTGCTTATTTTCGATTTAGATTTCATTGCACGTTTGCATAGTGAAAAACTACACGGTAATTCATGGATTGCTGCCGCTTATGACATCGATGACCTATGGATTTGCTTAGAATGTGTTTATTTCCGAATCGAATCACCAAGAGTGGCGGATTTGCAATTGTCGTACTTTAGATTTTAGGCTATTTCATATCAAATTCCGTAGAAGACTTTCTGGATAAATGACTTTCCATAGAATAAAAAAGTATGATGCTTTGGACTTAAGTCGCATGTTTGAACAAAAGAATAATTCTTTTTACGATGATATTTCTTCAAAGAGGATTTTAACTCTTCATTTCAATGTGTATCTTAATTAAGTAGTTATTATTAATAATTCCCAGACTAAAAACTCACATTCTCAAGATAACGAAATGATTACTTTCTTTAGCCGTTTCGTGCATTGCTTTTACAAAATGTCATTTTTTTTTTTCATCGAAAAATTTGGCATCAAGTTCAGAAAAGATCATAATTAATTAAGCCATTTTAAATGGTGTTATTTGGTGCTGGTAGAAATGGATAGATGCATCAGTGTGGAAATATCGTCAAAGACACATTGCGACCGACGTTTTTCTATCTACAGTTTAGTAATGAAAATACAAGATGCAAATTAATAGTTTGGATGCAAAATAAACCCGGTCACCAGACGGATCGTCAAAATTTATGATTATTATTCTTGTGTGAAATGTGCAAAAATTTAACATTCAAATGAGGTGAATAATTTGAGGTTTTTTTTTTCTCTTCTAAAACAACAATAGAAAAATGTCACCAACCAAACAAAATGTTAATTTCTAGTGAAGCAAATCCGAACGAAAAAAAAAAGTTGACCCGTTGTGAGCCAACCAGCCACAAGAAGGAAGAGTACAGAAGAAACCTTACATCGATCACTATCGAATGCAGTGTGATTTAATGTGGTGATTTATTCCGCCAACCGAATTGAAGTGATCATGAAAATGTGATGGAAATGTATGTGTATGCGCCGAATAACATCGTTTTGAACAATGATGACTTGTGAACCGTGTTCTTCTTCGGCTGTGGTCAAAGTGAATTGAATTTGGAAAATTCCAGTCGATTTTTTTCTCATTCGTTCAGGTGATTTGCTCATCTTGTCTTGTCCCAAAACAGCCAATTATGAAATTTCTAAATTGTGAAACCAACACCATACATCCAAAGAAGGCGAAAAAAAATTACTTAATTTTGATTTTAAAACTAAATTGAAAATTGGTGCGCTTGCGCTCACATGAAACCACCAAATTCGGCATCTACTAGTTGCGTTTTAATCGAATTATAAAAATTAAGAAAGTCAATGCGAAAAAAACGCCAATTACCCATTACGTTTTTTTTTCATTTTTTTTCGGGGCACTTTCAAGTCATACAACGTCATCCAAGACGCAGGTAATGCTAAAAAAAATAAATTAAAATTGTTTTTTTCATTACCGAGCGCATTTTTGTTTTGACCAAGAATTCGCTTTTTTCTGTTCGTTAACATGTTGCAATCGATAAAAATCTCTGGTTGGGTTGAGTACTTCTGTTTCGTTGCGCTGCAAGTTACTGTTGTTTACGCGTATCGATAATCTTCATAGCGGTAAGAAGCGGTAAGTAAACTCAATGTATTGAACAATGTGTCATTGTGCATAGTAAGATGTGTACACTGTACACTTGTTTCCGTACTGAGACATAATTTGCGGCGGCGGCGACAACGACACAATTATCGTCATTATTTAAGGCGGCATATAAATAATAACTTCGGTATGATTTCAGGTCAAAGTGTGCATTTGAACTTGATTGAATGCAATTATGTGTGAGAAAAAATTTGAATGGGCATGAAACCGATTCGATCGTCTCGTATTGTTTTATATGGAAATGAGATGACGGCGAATGACCAAACAAAATCTCGTTGAGAGTGTGTGAGTGTGTGTATCTATGGACGCGTGGCGGCGGGGTATTCTAAGCAGCTTGTCGCGAGTAATCGTAATCTTGGACGGAAATCGAAAGGCACAACCAGCCACCTTTGAATCGCATTAGACTGGCTGAGAATGGATCAACGAAATGGATTTGTGCCGTCTGCTCCAATGGCATACAAACAATTTCGGCCGGATTCTTGTTGAAAGCGAAAAAAAAAACATTGTTTTCATTCCGTTT